TCTTCAAACACGAACCCAAACGTCTACATATTTGACTTAACGACCTTCGCTTGGCAACCTATGTCAAACACATTATCACCGGTAACAGACATTCCAACTTCAAATAATACATTGTTTCAATCAAATGATCACTTTTCAATACCAAAGAGTAATAATAAGCTTGAAGATCAAAATAATAAGCTCCCATTTACCACGACGATTATTTTAGTTGCGGCAGTTTTGATAGTTTTATTCTTCATTCTCATAGTCGGATACCTGTGTTACAGAGTTAAACATAAAAAGAAAAATGAACGCATGATGTTAATTTTTAATGTTGCGAAAAATGATGGTCCTGTAGTGTCGAATGATTCTGCAAGAGATGCCGGTAAAAAGGAGGAAATAACAGGCTCTCATGATAGAGAGCATAACTCTAGAAGCCGGATAGTTGATCGATATTCTAATTTGGAGGGAAATGTTGATGGGAGACATCACTTTTAAGGTGGAAGTGATGCGCATTGAACTCTGTGTACGACAAGCGAATCAATGTTTTAACTCGTTTTAGATAAAGTAATGATAATTAGAGCAAGCACAACCAATGTGTTTAAGGATCGATAGTATGTAAGAATTGATTTGTATACTTTCTGATGTGATAATGATAGCAATCAATGATGAATTGCTTGTACATGATAATAAAGTTTTCTTCACATACGTGTTCACATCCTAGTGTAAAAAAAAAAGTTTTTTTACTGTTAGAGGTAAATCTAATCTAGACCGCGAAAGTAAATGCTTTATGTATTGTTGGGTTATATCCGGCGAGTCTGTCATCAATCCGTAGCGTGTCTCGCGTAATGTGATAGGCTTTAATTCTTGAAGCGTGTTTACAAATTTGCCTATTCTTTAGTCGCTCGCTAACTTATACCTTTGTCCTCGTCGCCAGAACCTTCCCAACGAACCCCAATTCCTATTATTCATGCTATCGGATTTATAAGCGTGCACGGATAACACGTTAAGATACTATTAAATATTTTATTATTTTCCTTGTTCTCCCTTACAATTGTTCGAACCAAGCTAACATTTATACTTTGATTACGTACTTACACTTGGGCATGCTATACATTCCCAGATCCACCTTTCAATAATAGATTCAGAAATCCAAATAAATTTTGCTTTGTGATGAGTTGTAAGTGGTCTGCGCAACAATCCTCCTATATTTCAACTAATACAGTTTGGAACAAAAAAACTGGCACTCAATTTTTTTTATTAAAATTAATAATTTTATTATTTAAATAAATTTTTTAAAAAAACTATATTTAAAAATTATTAAATATAAAGAATAATTTTTATTAAAACTATTTTAAATTTTATTATAAATTTTTTTTAAAAAAATAATTTAAATAATTGTCATTCTTTTTAAAATCTTTTGTATTAAAAGCAAAATCAATCTAAAATCATATTAAAATTACTTTCTACTCTACAGAATTTGAACATAAAATAAAAAATGTGATAATAATTTTTTAGTAAAAATTAAAATTTTTTAAAATATTGATAATTAAATAAAAAAAGTTTTTTAATACAAATTATTTTATTAGTTTAAAATTATTTTAAATTTTTATTTTTATTTAATTTAAATAAATATTTATTAAATAATAACAAAAATAAAAGGTGCCATTATTTTTGTCCCATACTGTATATTCCCAAACATTACAAATACCTCCAACATTTCAATCAGTCCAATATTATAATTATAATTTAAAATATTTTTAGTGTTCTTGTCTAAAGACTGTCTATATATCATAAATCCAAATTATATTATTTCTTTTTATAAAAACTATAAAAGAAGAAAATAATAATAATAAAGAGTTTGAATTATATTATTTTTATTTTTATAAGAAATAACAAATTCTAAAAATGAAATTTGTATTTTTTTATAAAGTTTTTTACCTGTTTTTATTGGACCATAACCAATTTTAAAATTTTCTTTAAAATTGATAACAACAATATAATAAATATAATTGTTATTAATTCAAAAAAAATTTTATAAGACTTTTATTGAGTTTTAAAATAAAAATATTGTTTATAAAAATCATTTTAATTTGTCATATAATAAAATTATTTTTCTATTATTTAAAATAATTTGTTATAATTTAATTTTAATTTTTTTCTTTAATATACAGTCTGATTCAAAAAAATCTAGAATTGAATTTTTCTTATAATTTAATAAATAATAATTTAAATTAAATAAAACTTCTAATGTATATTATTTATATTAAAAGAAATAATATATTAAAGTTTTATTAATATTTAATTAATAATTTATTTTAAAATATCAATTTAAAGTTAAAAAAAAATATTTTTATTACAAATTATATATATAAATTTATATATAAATTCTGTTTGGAAAATAAATTTTTACTATAGTAAATTTTTTTAAAAAAATTAATTATAAAATTAAAAAAAAAA